AGAAGTCATGGTTATGTAGGCTTCTTTGTTAGGAGCTTAACTAGTTCTTTAGAATTATCAACTTCTATAGAGATAAAAAATGAAGAGGAAATGAACTCTAGATACATGATTTAGGTTTAGTTTGAAAACAATACTCTATAGCTGTAGTTATAGGTTTTTTGGTTCTTTAACGTCTAAAAAATATATAAAATATATTTAATATATTTAATATTTATTTTAATTAACATTTTATATATTTTTAAAATAGTAAAAAGACATAAAAGCTAAAAGCTAAAGTATCAAGAAGTGTTCTCAAACAAAGTGTTAAACTGAAGTTTAATTAAGTTTTGAAACATAAAAATTAACTCTAGTGAATTCTTCAATTGATTTTATAAGCAAAATAATTAGAATTAGTTCACACACTTCAAAATATACATAACTATCAGGTTGCCGCACTTGGGCCTCACGGCCTAACGGCCATAGGTCGGCTTGTAAGGTGCATCTCCCAGTTCGAGGGCTGGGGTTCAATTCCCCCCACCCCCAAATTTGTAACCCTGATAAAAAAAAAGAAAAAAAAAAAACTATCAGGTTGCCAAACATAGTAGCGCAACACCAAATTCATTGCCTTGGTTACACTATAAAAGAAGCAAATCTAGTACAAATACAAGCTTCTTCACTACCATCCCACTTAATTTTCATTTCCAAGTAAACTAATTGACTCAATCTCTATATCATTGCATGAAGAAAGACTAGTAGATTCTGTGAGGTAGGTTTTCTCTGTAACATCATCTTGTTGTGTTGCATGGGGATAAAGCTGGAAAGGGGTGGGAGGCATTTGTAAGCTCTCAAGTTCTGCTTCAAGCATCTCTATGACTTTGTTCATTGAAGGGCGATCAATTGGCTTCATCTGTATGCACCAGAAGGCTACAATGATCATTTTCTTTGCAATTCTTTTTTGATCTTCTGTGGCTTCTCTTATTTCTAGCTCCATTCCTTTGTTCAATTGCTCTGATGCCCACGAAGGAAAGTGGATCTGACTCGAATGCTTTGCAAATGGGTTCACATTCTTTCTTTTGCTTGCCATTTCCATCAATAACATTCCATAACTGTACACATCAGCTTTGTAAGAGACACTTCCTAAGTTCTTGTAAAACAGCTCAGGTGCCATATATCCCAGAGTTCCTCTTGCTGCAGTCAAGGATACAGTGTTACCTTTGGTTGGATATAACTTTGCAAGACCAAAATCAGAGATTTTTGGAGTGAAGTTCTCATTTAAAAGAATGTTGTGAGGCTTGATATCAAAATGCAAGATTTGCATGTCACAACCTCGATGTAAATACTCAATTCCACAAGCTACTCCTAAAGAAATCTTGTATAGATTTTCCCAACCCAAAGTTGCAGTATTGCCTTCTGCAGAGAAAATATGTTTATCAAGAGAACCATTAGGCATGAAGTCATACACAAGGGCACGTTTTGATCCTTCAGCACAAAAGCCAATCATTTGTACCACATTGACGTGGTGAATTCTTCCAATGGTGGCAACTTCATTGCAAAAATCTTGCCCTGTAGTTTTTGATTTGCCTAACATCTTTATTGCTGCAAGGCGACCACTCTGAAGCTTTGCTTTGTAAACTTGACCAAAACCTCCTTCACCCAATTTCTCCTTAAAATTATTGGTCAATTTCTTAATTTTTGAGTAAGAATACCTTACAGGCATGAGGTTGTTGTTGCCTTGCAAGAATTCTTCAATACAATTATACATGGATAAATGCCTTCTCCTCCATTTAGAGACTAAAAATATGATGAAACTTGGAATTCCAAGAATAGCTAGTGGTGCATGCCATGCGATCCATAATGCAACAATATCTACGTAAAAAAAAAATTATTATTTTTGCCATAACGTAATATTGATTTATATAATGTGTGTGTCTGTTTTTTTTTTTTTAATTTAGGTAAAGGATTTGAGAAAAATGTTTATCAACCAAACCTACAAAAAAATTAGGTAGAAAAATAATTCAAAATTATGTTGCTTTAACAAATTTCTATCGTAAAAGAATAAAATATCTTAATTTTTAAATCATGAATGAATGAGACTCTTTTAACCTCTTTTTTTTTTGTGATTTTTTATGAAAAAAGCCATAATTGTAAATATTTTTTCATTTAAATTTTTTAATAAATTTAACTGATAAATATTAATCTCAAAAGATTTATATATTGTATTGTGTACTATGTTTCTTGACATTTGAATTTTAGAGTGCTTATATTCAACCTTTAAGACAATTAGGGATGCTTTGGAAGAACAATTGTTGTAGAAAGCAAGCACTAGTGCTTTACCTTTTTTTTTTTGTGTTTTTTTTTTCTTTTGTAATCAATCTTTGTCCTTTTGTTAATGAATTTATCTGACTTTTGACTACCCTTACAAATTAAGGATATAATAAATATACTTTTTAGTAATTAATTTACATTAAAAAAATATAAAAATTGATATTTATTTTAATATCATTGATACAAATAAAATTTTAATTGACTAACTGAATAAATTAAAGTTAACATGTATATTTTTTGCACAAATTAATTAAAAAAAGTGTAAACCATCTGTTAATAATCAATCCTCAATTAGAAATAGGCAATCTTCATATTCATGCTTTGTAATTGATTATTGAGAGGCGCTTACTGTGTGCAGTTAATTCCAACAATGACTTAATTAATAAACCTTGCATTAACTTCAAGTAATTGAGATTTAATGGAAGCTAGGACTTAATCGAGGAGATGAAAAACATTTCAGGGACAATTGCGTATTTTGGGAGTTGAATAAATGATAACTTTAAACCTTTTCAAGCATACAAAGGACTGGCAGTTCTATCAATCCTAGATTTTGAAAAGAAATGATGTTAACTTATTGTAATGGAAGAAATTTGATAAAAGAAAAAACCAATTATGTAGGGATGATTGTTGTTAGGTCAATTATCCGAGTTGCACTTTTGTTTAATCAAATTTTTTGCTTGCTTCATATATAATATAGAGATTAGTGTTTGAGGAAAAACATTTAAAATTACATCATTTCAATCAAATAACACAAGAAAAAAACTAAACAAATCTTGCTTTAAAAATTAAGATGTTTTAGTTTTTTTTAATGGAATATATTGAAATAATATAATTTTAGAATATTTTTTCACTTCATTTTTTTCAAATTTGGTTGATAAGCATTTTTTTCTTATAAATTAAATAACTAAGACGTGGATTAGAGGTACTTACCATATACACAACTGGTCAGATATAGATTAT